CCCATGGCATGGCTCCCGTGGTTAGAACAAAGGCTACAGTGTGAAAAGATTCCTGGCACGGCTCAGCTCACATGACACACAATCGAATCCAGGAGGACAACTCATGCTATGCTCTCTACACACACGCTGGCTGCCAGGGCAGTGACGGGGCCCGCGGCACGAGGGCGGGAGCACCCACTGTGCCATGCACCTTCACTGTCTGCCAGTGGGGGTGGGGGTGGGGAGAGAAAAATGGTATTTTCTTTAAGGAAACACCCTAAACAGTTGAAAGTGTAAACTGATTTTTTAAGCAATGAGAAGCCATCCTCCAAATGCGTAGGTGGAGAATGCGAACAAGAACACTTCTCGGTTGAGGAAAAGGTGCCTGGGCGATGCGATTATTCAAGGGCACCACGCGGAATCTTAGCGCGGGTACGAAAGCCAGCACGGTTGGTGAATGGCCACACCGGGTACTAGCCCTTAGGCTTAAAGCAAGGCCTCGTGTCTAAAGCTAAAGGCGCCTGCAGAACAATCAGCCGCTTTCCACCCCAGGTGAGCACAGACTGTGCCGCAAGCACTCGGCTTTGTGGAGGGAGCCGCGTGTCCCCCGCCCCTGGGCTGTTCCACCTCTGCAGGCGGCCAGCAAGGTGATCCGTCATCACCCAACGCGCTGACCTGCCCCCCACAGTAATAAAGGCAAACGTGTCAGGAGCTTTGCTTTGTTTTAAGGACCTGACGTGGTCTTGCTAACAGGAAAGTGACGCAGCGTAAAGGTCCAACGCAACCATGTTGTTTGCAGCAACAGCAGCTCAGTTTCTGCGTCTTTTAGAAAAAGCACCCCACGGGTTCATTTGCAGCGCTTAAGGTTAGAAAGATAGCGTTACCGTTGGCAGGAAGGTAGGTGAAGTGCTGGTACTGGCTTCTCTTCCTCTTCCCATTGCAGACGTAGAAATTGACTTGGACGGGGCTGGTTATCCTCTGATTGCGGAATGGCGGTATCTCGACCACGAGTGAATTCTAGAGAGAGAGGGGCAGACAGGCGGGACACGGTCAGCACCTTGCACACACGCAGCGCTTTGCACGCCGCCCTCACAGAGCGCTACCGTGCGGCCAGATAGCTCTCGACGGCACAGGCTGCCCAGAAGCCGCCCGCAGATCCCACGTGGGCTGGCAGGGAAGAGGGCCCTCACGTCCTGCACGCCCAGGGCTGAGAGGCGGTCTGAGACGCTGCGTGAGGGGATGCAGGCGGGGCGCTTCGCCTAAAATGCCTCCGACGGCGCCAGGAGAGCAGATGCTGAGAGTGGAGTGGCCACTCAGCAGGGGGTCCTCAGAAGACCCCCCCCCATGCTTCTGCCCACCCTGAAGCAGGGGCTCAGTGACCTCTGAAGATTAAAAAGGCCCCACTCACTGACTTGTGGGCAGAGCCAGGAGCACCTGTGTGGGTAAGTGATAACGAAGACCCAGGGCAGGTGCTCCCTGGAGACAGGTCTCTGGGGACAGGTTCTGTGACAACAATGGCCCCAAAGCCCAAGTCACAGACTCCCAGACTCCCTCGATTTTAGAACATGGAGAGCTGGACGCTCGGCAGATACGGGAGGTGGCGGGCAGCTGGCGGGCGAGGCCGAGATGGAACAGGGCTGTTTATGGTGTTGTCGTTATGTCCTCAGCTTTTAAAATAAAAATCGACAACACTTTTATAGCATTCTGGTCTTTCAAGTACAGACATAAAAGCAAGTGGCCGTGAGCATGGCATTGTGGGAGAAAGGAGCGAGCTGAGGGTTGGGACGCTCAGGTGCCAGCTCTCCACGGGCTTAGTGCCTCCTTGGCACCCAACGCGGGGCCACGCCTGTGTGGCCCCAAACGAGTCAGCGACGTAGCCTCCAGCGCACCAGCACCACCCAAGGAGGCAGAGCTGCACTTGATTTCTGCGGGGGACGAATTTCACACCCAAAAAGTTTCTTCAATTTTTTTGGTCATATGATTTCAGTTAACAGCAGGGAAAACATACGAGGAAAATCCATTATATCACTCTTTTGTTAAAGTACTGTGGCTCGATACCCATATTAAACAGCAACACGGTCTGAACCGTGTCAATGATGAAATCGTAAGGATCTTAGAACAGAAGATTGAGCAGAGCTTCCGGGCAACCCCCTTCTTTTTGCAGGAGGAGAAACTGAGGACAGAGCCTGGTGCGGAGGGTGCACATGGCGGGCGCCAGCCCCTAGGACCACGCTTGCTCCAGGCCACGCAGCTCTGTCGTTTAAATAACTTCATTTGGAGGAAGCGACAGGCTGGGAGGGAGCATCTGCGCCGTATCAGGCGGGGCAGGTGGCCCTCCCAGCCTGTCCGACTTTGTGGGGAAGGTTTTCGTGAATTCCAAGGGAGTGGAAGGTTGTGTTTTGATGTGGGCACAGGCTGACATGTTTCAACTCTCTAAATACTCAAAGTGTGTGACAAAATACTGTCCCCATGAGAGCACTCGTGCTTAAATACACAACCAAGGGAAGAAAGAAAATGCAGCGATAGGAACAAAGGGCCCAACGGCGCTCGATATGTCATGCGACTTGCTTTAAGAAAATCCTTTGTCTAAAGTGTTCACGGAAGCATATAAACTCTATGTACAGCACAATCCCATTTCCTTTATAAACATATACACAATGTAACGTGTCCCTAACCCACAGCCACGACAGAAAAAGACTGGAAGGAAATATATCAAATGTGGTTATATCTAAGTGGTGAAATGCCACTGGGTGTTTGTTTTTTATACTTTGTTATATTTTCCAAATTACTACAATGAATGTGACAGTCTTTTGATAATTAGAAAAAATATAAAAGTTAATCTCATTTAAGAGATAAAAAGGATAAAGTTGTCAACTTAAATCATTAGTCACACATACTGTTATGTTTCTTTTAAAACATTTAACAGTTAAGCTTCCTTTAAAATATGCAACTATTTGAAGTCAAAAAGAAAACTAAACGACAAAAAAAAATCTAAACTTGCAAACTTGGCAGGAATAATTTTGATCCAAAAAGAGGCGTGACTTCTGCCACCACCTCCTCCTGTTCGGGGACGAGAGTGGACAGTCACAGCCGTGGCTGGAGAGCAGACGGGACGCGGCCTGCGTGGCGCGGGACCCAGGAGTCGCAGAGCGTGGCTCTGACGTGACTGGTGCAGACGCAGCAGGGTGGGAGGACGGCCCAGGGGCGGGGAAGGGTGCGGGTGCCGCTGGGGGCCGGGATACGGGGAGCGGCCCTGGCAGGCAGAGGTGGCTCTGTCCTGCTGCCGGCTGTCTGTGACAGGCCCCGGGCCGACTCCGCGGCTTGTGGGCCCATTGGGCCGGGGTCCCCTGTCCGGAAGGTGAACCACCTGGGGCCGCAGCACTTCCTCGGGGCTTCTCAGGGGGAAGGAGGGCGCCAGGGGATCAGAGGCAGCCTAGTGAGTGTGCGAGGGAGGTTCCCAGGGGCTGGGTCACCCTGGGGCCAGGGGGGCCCTTTCCACCTGACACCACCTGGAAGGGCTTCTGGCAAATGGAGTAGGGTTTGGAGGAGGGATGTGAAGTCACAGTCAGAGATGGCTCCCCTGGCAGAGCCACAGAGAAGAGCGGCAGGCCCGGCTGGCAGCTGGTGACCTGGGGCCCACCGGGTGCAGGGCAGAGTGACCAGATGGCTGCACCCAGTCCCACCACCAAGGCTCTGGCCTACAGGGACCCCCCTCCCCCCAAAAAAAGTGAGGTGCTTGACCTAAACTACAGTTCCCGTGTCGCTGCACCTGCAGGAAAAGGGCCACCCACATACCCTGAGGGACGCGCTACGGAGCTGGAGAAGTGGGACTCTCTTCGGGACGCCTGCGGGCCGCGCTGTGTCTACGTCAGCCTCGAGGTTGAGGCTGACTTTCCCGGACTGAGTAGAACACAGCGACGGCAGATGCGAATCCCGCTCGGCTGACAATCGCTTTGCACACCGAGGTCTGATCACACTGATTAGACGGTGCGGGTTGTCGCAGGGATGAAGACACGGCTATCTGTCGTCTGCAAGAAACCACTTTAACTCTAAGGACGCGGATCACAGGTGAAGGGCTGGGGAGAAACACCAAAAGGCACCACCAGCTGCAAGGAAGCTGGGTCGGCCAGATAATTCCAGGCAAAAGAGCCTCCATTAATGACCGACTGAAGAAACAATGAGGGTTTCTTAGAACCAGCAAACTGTGAAAGGCTAAGTGTAGGTAGGGCACATGCAGGGGGCCCACCTGCCAGCCTGAGAGCCAGCGCATGGCGCCGGCGACACCACGGGGCAGGCACCCTGCCCCCCAGTCCTCGGCGGCTGGCAGGGGAAGAAGCAAGCCCGGGGGCACAGTTAGGGCGCTGTCCCATCCATTCCGCGCCGAGAACAAAAGCAGTGGGTGTTCTTAGAAGAGGACAGGCAAGGAGAAGTCGCTGCCAAGGACGCGGGTGGAGCCACCCGCCCCGCACGCCCGGGCAGGTACGGCACCCACTCGGGGGCTCAGAGTGGTTTACCTGGGCGGCAGCGGGCTGGGCGGGGACCCTGGTGACAATGACAGCTAGAGGGTGACAGAGGAGCCCAGCGCCATGAGCGTGAGTGTGCACCCATGTCCTAGCCATGTGGCTGGGAGGCGTCACCGTCTGGGGCTTTTCCCGGGGGCGGCCTCAGCTCGGCGGCGGCGGCTGCAGGCACGCCGGTGTCCTCTGCGTCCCCTCGTCTGCTCCCTGAGAGCGCCAGCTTCAGGCCCTGCTTTCTGCCACTTCTATTTGCTGCTCTGTTACTCTTTCTGCTATTTTTATTAGTCGTTTCACTTTGGCAAACAAGAAGCCACGTGCTTCTGGAGCGACCCTCGCTCCGGCCTGGGGAGCCCCAAGAACAGGCCGGCACGCGGTCATGGCTGTGTGTCCAGGAGATACTTACCGGCTTGCACAGGTCTCGGTCGGTCTTCGCCTCCATTTCCCAGATGTGGTGGCCATCTGGAAGAAAGGGGCAGCGAGAAGCCTGTTACTCTCGTGGCTGACCGCGTGCCGCCCAAGGTCCCATGCAGGGTCCCGGCAGAGGCCCCGCCCAGATGTTAACTTGTAAGAGCAGAAAATCACGCTGGTGTGAGCGGTGAGCAGACGCAGGGTCTGTGGGGAGATGTGCCGAGTCGTACACACTTGGGCGCAAGGGACCTCGCAGAGCCGAGACCCTGGCCATGCGAGAGGGAGCCACGGGCAATGGGCGCCCGGGAACCTTCTTCAGCCCTATGTTACCAGCCCCACGCCACCAGGGAACAGACTGCATGCCCATGCGAGAGGGAGCCACGGGCAATGGGCGCCCGGGCAATGGGCGTCTCAGAGGGAGCTGGGGCCCAGGAGGGACGCAGGCAACCCCGGCGAAGGACGTGCTGTCCTGGCCTGCGTACACCAGCATGAGCCTCGCGGTGTGCACAGTGGGTGTTTTGGGCCTGGTCCCCTCGCCCGCGAAGCCCTGCTCATCTGGGGCACAGTTATTCCAATGAGCGGGCTGGAGGCAGAGTCCCACAGGAACTGCCTAGCAAACACGAAGGTTCTTGCCACATCAGGACACAGAAATGCAAAACATGAGTATTTTTAACCTTGCCCCAGTGGCCGTTTGCATGTTAAAAAAAAATTAAAGGCTCCGCAGGGGCGTCTGAAAGGGCTTCTGTTGCTCAGGCCAGCCCTCGGGGTGGGTCCAGCCCCACACTCTGGACGTCTGCAAACCGCGTTCTCAAGCCCCGAGCCGGCAGGCACACCGCTCGGCCTGGTTTTGGGGGGATTCTGTCAGCAGATGTGAATCCCCCACAGAGGCATCTTTCTTCTTTGTCTTCCCCCAAACGAGCGAGTAGAACTCGGCAGACTCAGTTTTTGCTGTTTTCAAAGAAGAAATGTGTGTGTGTTACACATCCCAAACTTTAACTAGACAAAATCTCCCCTCCCCCTGACAGCGCCTGCCAGGCAGGGGTGGCGGGTGGAGACAGAGAGGAAGTGTGAGTCACGGAGAGCCCGGCCTCCCGGGATGCCCGCCGAGGGAGGCCCGGCAAGAACTGAGGCCGCTTGGTGACCAAACGGGGACCAGCCACCCCAGGGATCCGCGCCCACGTCTCCCCCAGGAAAAAATGGCGGGAAACAGAACTCAGAGGCACTGGGACCCACCGAGGCAGCTCACGTCCGGGGTCCCGCAAGCTCAGGGCACGAGCGAGAGGAGCCGCCTGAACTGCAGTTAACTGCGCAAGGGGCCGGGACGCGGGGCCAGGGGACGGGACGTGGGGCCAGGGGACAGGACGCCAGAGCCCTCGCTGTGCAAGCCCCACCCCCCACTTCATTCGGGACGGTAGATAACTCAGCGTCCCACAGTCTTGCTGCCTTTTAAACATGGCTTCTAAATTTTTCTTATGACAAAGCCCATGTTTGTCTCCCCCCCAAAGAAAAATCAACTTTAGGTGTTATAATCTGAACTGTTGGGGACAAAACCAAAGGCAGCTCCGTCTACCCAGGCATGGACGCTGATAGCCACGGCTATTTTGCTTAGGAATTCTCTAGAATGTGCCGGTCCCCCCATCAGAGCATGTGGGAGAGGGGGCAGGAAACTGAGGCCCGGGAGGGGCCCGATACCAGACTTGGCCCCCCTTGGAAATTCGCAGGTCCCCCCTTGTAGGACAAGTGGAGCAGCCGGGGGAGAAATGCACCACAGGGCTGAGTGTTCCCCCGCCCCCCGCCTCCCGGGGCCTGTGGGATGCCGGGCCCTGTGCGATCACCGGCCCTACGGGCTGCAGGCCACACGGTCCCATGCGTGTACCTACGGAGCTAGCCGCTAGGCCTGGCCGCCCATCCCAGCTTTCAAAAATGGAGACTCTTCGAGTCGCGGCCTCATGGGAGCCAAGCAGACACACTCAGACACTGTCCAGGCTCAGCGCTCAGCAGCCCCGGGTGGACGTAGGCCCCTGCAACTGCGGAACCTGCCGGGCTCCTGGCAGAGCCACAGCCCAGGGGCAGGCACTTGGTGCTCCTGTCTCTTCCCAGGGGCCTGAACGAGCCGGTCCGTTCAAGGCCAGTGTCTGTCTAGTGGTGAGTGGTCGAGACGGGACCGAGGCACCTGAAGATGGCTAACGACTGCATTCCCAGCAGGAAATTACAGACACGGTTGATACTGTGCCCGGCCCCGGCAGGGCTGCTGCCCGGCCCACTGCCTCAGCCCCGCCCCCGCCGCAGGGCGCGGGCTGGCGAGGCGGAGGTGGCTGCTGTTGTGCAAACCTCAGCCCGGGCTGGGAAGGGAAATGGCCTGAATGGGCCTTTGTGTCCCAGCCTTATCGGGACCTGCTGGGCGCTCAGTGGGAAGCTGCGCACAAGCCCAGGAGTAAAAATATTCCAGTCATCAGGGAATTCCCTGCCGCGTGAGTCACTGGAAAGGCTTCCCCGCCACACCCGCCAGGAGGCCTCCCTCCCTCCCCGCCCGGCGGGTCCTCGCATGCCGTCCTGGACCGTGACCGGTGCTCACGGGTGGAGGCGCAGCCTCTTCTGGCTGTGGGCCTGGCTTCCCACAGAGACAGGATGGGAATGGCCACACGGACACGACAGCGCGCCTGGGGCTGAAGGAGCATGGCGCCCACTCCCGGGGGCCCGGGGACAGGCTGGCAGCCATGCACACGCCACACACCACCCCCTCCTGGGGCGTCCCCTCAGTCACGCTTGCTCAGGTGCCTCTGAGCACCCACCGTGTCGGGCCTGTACGTGGACGCCCGGGGGAGCACTGAAGCTGGGTGGCCGAGGGTGACACTGCCGTCGGGGGGCCGAGCGAGCTGTGCACAGGTGATCGCCTCCCTGCAGACAGGCGCCAGGAGCCCTGTGCTGGGCCTAGCCTGGTCAAGGGTCAGGGAGGGTCCACGGCCCATGGACAGTGCGTGTGGGCGCTGGCCGAGGGCGCACGCCTCCGTCCCCGTCGCCACCAGGCCTCTCTCAGGCAGTGACCCCGCAGCCACTTGCACAAGCCTGGGCAGCACAGAAGAGACCGGAGGAAAGGAAACAGCCTGCCTGCCAAGGACCAGCCGGCCGCTCCCACGAGGGACGAGGATGCCCTGCAAGACGAGCACAGGCCCAGGGGAGGGGCGCTGTGCAGACAGCTGGATGCTCGCTCACTGGAGCACTACGTGAAGTGGGCAACGAGCTGATGCAGCCTGAGGTCCCCCTGCCGGGAGCGGGCAACGGTGTGCCGCCCCGCCACACGGCGGGGGCTACCGCGTCATCAGGAGAGGCCTGTGACAGAGGCCCCCGCAGGGACGAGCCCTGGAGACGCTGTGCGGGGCAAACGCGCAAGTACCGTCTGCTTCTCCCGCCACGTCTGGGACGGCCAGTCCACGCGCACAGGACGTGGTCCGAGGTTGCTGGCTGGGGCGGAGCACAGGAGGACGGGGTGGCTGGTGACAGGTAAAGTCTCTCTGGAGTGAGGTAAATTCTGGGGTTAGTGCTGATGGCTGCCCAGCTCTGAACGAGCCCACGTCCCGAGCCTAAGTGGCAAGTGGGTGGGCTGGGAGTCAGCTGCGCCTTGAGGCCCACGGGGAATTACGACGCACGCAAGGTGCCACACGCGCCGAAACGTGAGGGGGCAGCAGGAGCCGGAGGCCGGGCGCTCCCCTGCTGTGCTGAGCCTGGTGCCACCTCACCCAGCCGCACCCACACCCACGCCCTTCCCACCAAAGCCAGGGGCACTCCAGGCACCCCGACAGCGGGTCTGGGACAGACCAGCCCTCACCGGGGTGGGGGGCCAGGCCCACCTTCTGCGAGCTGCCGGGAGCAGAACCCGGACCAAGAGCAGTGCGGTTTGCAGCAAACCAGAGGGACACCCAGGCTGTCCTGCCCACAGGGAGGTTTCGGTGCCGGCCGACGTGAAGAGGGGTGCGAGGCCCTGTCTCGCTCTTGGAGCCCCCACACTCCGGGCCCTCAAATGCTGGCCCAAGGGTCAGCCTGGGACCCCCCGGGGAGCCCCCAGGGAGCGAAGGCCCTGGGCGGGCTGAAGCCACATCCCCGCCCTGTAGCCTTGCCAAGCCTGCATGCTTGCAGCCTGGAGGGAACACGCGCTCCCTGGGCCCAGACCACCAGAGGGCTAAGCAGCCCCCTTACCAAGATCGCTCAGAACGCAGTGTCATTTAGAACCATGGGATCATCTTTCAGTACTGAGAGCAAAAAGTGAAATAAAGTGGCCTGGCCGCCTGCTTGTCTTCTGCTCTCTGGGAACCAGTGAGACCTGCAGAACAGCGCATCCTGGGCACAGTCACAGGGTGCAGTTCTTTGAGGGGCCAGCTGTTCCCACTGCCCACGTAGCCAGCTGGCACTGCGTCTGCTCAACCCTGCCCTCCGTGAGCCCACCCTAGGCCTGGTGGCAGCACAGGCCAGCACCTGGACAGGCTGATGCGGGGGAGCAGTGATGACAGTGGCCCATGTGGACGGATGTCGTCCTACCCTTTCCCACGTCAGTACCAGGAAAGTCTGCACGGAGCGGCCCCTTTCCCCTGCCAGGGCATGCCATCCAGGCCCAAGCTGCCCTCAGCTTGTGGTGCCTGGTTCTGGGCATTTCCCAGAAATTCTGAGACCAGTACGCTGGGGGCACAAACCAAGGCCCCGTGTGGCCACGACGCAGGGACCAGACCGGGAAAGGAGGTGCAGGTTGCTGGCCTGGGCAGCTGCTGCTGCATCGTTCCGGGGTTAAGTGCCAGCTGGCTGATTAGAACCAGCGAAACCCAACCCACGTGGGCTGTGCCCAGCTGTCGGGCGCGGGGCACCCAGGCCACCAGGTGTCACTGCCTGCACAGTGCAGCCACGACTGCAGGGCCACTGGCTCCTAAGGCAGCAGAGGTGGCGGTCCTCACATACACCTGCTCACATGCACACCCTGACACACACCTGCTCACACACCCTGACACACACACCCCACGCCCGACTCCAGAGCTGGCCCGTCAGGTCCCCGCATCCCTGATGGTGGCCTCGCCTGCCTCTCATGACCATATGTTCCATGGTGAGGACGCCATACTCGATGCTTGTGCTGTGAACAGGTTCACACTTAACCTTTAAGATGGAATTACAAAAGTGTCCCATTCACTCCGGGCCTGGTGAGCCCCATGCTGACTCAGGTCACTTCTGTCCCTCTATTTCAAGGGTTCTGCAGAGCCCGCTGAGATTCTGACTGAGGCCGACAAGCTGGCCGCCCCGAAGGTCCAGGGCCTGGGGCAGCGCCGTGCAGAAACCACGGCTCCTCTCCTGTGTGTGCCGTTGGGCCTGGACGCCACTCTCTGGCCGGGCTTGGAAGCCGCGTCTGAGGGCCGGAGCCCGGCCTCTGTTTTCAGGAACCCGGAAGACTGGACCAGCCCTTCCCGGGCATGCGACGTTTCCCACGTTTTCACCACTGTAACGGCTGCCCCCTTCTTTCAGTCAAGGACTATGCAGAGTGCGACTCAGAGACGCATCGCCATCTCTGAGATGGGTGAGTACCGTCACACAAATAAACTCCACGTGGCACAGACGGGCCGAGGGTACAGGCTGGCCGGGGCTCCCTCTGAAGCTGAGAACTAGTGTGGGCAAGGAGCCTGCCAGGCCAGGGCCCGGGGAAGTGCTCACAGCAAGGGACGAGCCAGTGCAGACCCAAAGACACACGGAGTAGGCGAGTGGAGGGCCACCGGGGTGGGGGCACAGGCAAGTCGGGGTCCCGCTGTCATCTGTCAAAAGTTGTGTTCTGGGTTGGGTTGAGGCTGGGGTCCAGCTTTGTGGGGTCTGGGGTAGGGGTCTGGTTGGCTTTAGGATCCGGTTGTGTCATGTTTTGGGATGGAGTCTGGCCATGTTTTTTGCTGGGCAGTCACTGGAGGTCCCAATGAACTGTGCCTCCACATTTACACCTCAGTGCCCCCCCCCTCTGAAAACTGGTGGGCTGGGACCTGACTGCACCCCAGGTGGCAGGTTGCACCGTTTGTGGTCCAGGCCATAAAAAGGCCTGGCCCCACGCAGGACACCGAGAAGAGCTTGGGGCAGGCCATGAGACTGAGCTCGGAGGGAAGGCCACCGTCCGGTCCCCAGCTGACTTGCCAGCTCAGAAGGCCACACAAATGACCACAGGCTGAGTCTAGCCCACACTCTACTGCCAGTACATGAAGTGATTGTTGCCTGAATCCCGCTGTTTCGGAGACATTTTTAATGCGGCAAGAGAAGCCAGCACAAGCTTCCTTCACCGTGTGCAGTAGCTGCACCGGAGGAGCAGGTGACTTTGGGAAAAGCAGCTGTTTTCAGCTTCGGCATCGAGAGCTCAGTAACGTTCGATGCAGCTAAACCTGCGAAACCCTCGCCCCTTCCAGCCGGGCCTGTCCTGGAGATGAGTTGCTCGTGTCCACATGCTTACGTGGTGTTTTCACGAATGCTGGATGCGAGAGTGCCCTCCGGGTCACTGGGAGCGCAAATCTGTCCTTAATTTACAGACGTGAAGACAGGTGCAGCGGCCTTCAGTGCAGAGACAGAGGGCGAGTCAGCGTCCTGCTTCTCATAAGTGGACATCTGTAGGGTCTGAGCCGGTGGTCCCTGGATTTCGGGGTTCTGCACCAGGCCCTTCTGGTCCCCACACATGGACTTCCGCCCTCGGAAGTGCCGTCTGAGTCCCGAGGGACAGGCTGCTCCAACTCTTGGGCCTTTTGCACAACTCAGCAAGACCGAGAAAAACCCCAGGACTCCCCTGTGTGACGGGCTGTTCACTCTCTTCGTGACACGTCTCTCAAGGCCCTGGTGGCCCGTTGCTGACCCAGGGAGCCCAGCTGACATCCACAAGAGGGGCCATCACGGGGCCTTGCCCGTTTGCTGAGCACCAC